CAGAGAGGTGATGAGGATCACAAGACTAGTGGCAGCAGTGAGAAGAGACCACAGGAAATTCTTTCCCATCTGGATTTCTGTCTGTGTAAAGACCCAATCCAGTTTCTGAATTAGGGGGCAGTGCCAGAATTGCCTCATTAAAGTATGTAGCAATTGAAATATGGTTTTATTGTACATTGGATCATTCTACTTCCAAAATTGTGTCTGTACTGAGGATGTGGAAAAACCACAGGAAGGATGGAGGACAATCTAAAACTGCCATGGCTATAAGTTAAGAGACTGAGATGGGAATGTGACTAACTAATACTTGGAAATGTTGAAAATCTTTCTGAAAAGGTTCTTGTCTCCTTCAACAACACTGCCCTCCATTTCTGTCTCACTGTAGCATTTTAAGACTCTGAAGGGGAAAAGAAAGCCGTAACATTGTTTTCTACAGTTTGCTTTCCTATACTCGGCAACAGTTTCAAGGCTTAGCCATGAGTCTCAGTGAAAATTCATAATTTCTGTAGAAACGTGCCTTGTCTACTTTTTTCACATTCCTTATAAGACATAATTTGTACTTTTAAAAAATTCCCTGACATCTATTGATTTGGTGGTCACATTAGCGCACAACATTTTCCCCAAGAGTTTAGCTCTGGGTGGGTTTTTCCTCCTTTCTAACATATCTACCCACCTCTTTCTCAGTACATCTGTCTAAGGAGAGTGGCCACAAGTTTGAGACTCACCCAACTAGTGCAATAAAGAGAAAAATTAGTCTAATGCATGGTCTTAACAAAAGGGAGAGTGTGAGCATGAATAATTAATTTCACTAGTCTGGCAGTCAGATAAAATGAAGTCCCATTTGCTCAGCCTTATTAAAAGAGAGAGAGGGAGAGAGAGAGAAAGGGAGGGAGGGAGAAATAGTAAAGGTCGTTAAGGGACTTGTAACATGGAACGAATCGCCTCTGAGATGGATAATGTGTTTTCTAATCTCTGTGGTCTTTAACTAAACGTAATGGTAAAGGTACTCTGGATATTTCTAATTCATTGAATTATTAAACATTCTAGAGGACACTTGACTCTTAACTACTAGCTTAGAAGTCTTGACAATGAAAAAAGAGAAAATCTTTTTGGGGAAGAGTTTAGATCACACTCTGTCAGTTAAGAATAATCCATCTGCCCCTTAAAAGACCTGGGAGAGAAGATGAGGGGGCTTGTCTGATCCACCTTATCGGATATCAATTCAAGACCCACCATGGCCTTTTTATGCCTTGGGCACTCATTCATTCAATGTGCTTATCTCTCTTTTACAAATGAATACTTTATTCTTTGTAAAAGGATTTTGAAGAAGTATCACCTATAATGGATTGTGAAGAAGTATCACCTATAAATGTAGGTGATGCAAAGTGAAAATAAATACGGAATGACTTGTTATGGGCATAGTAACCAAAACGAGTGCTCCTTTTTTTTTCCTCCAGAGCCTTTGAATGAATTCCCTAATTATATCCTCTTGGGTTATTAATTGTCAATGATAGTTGTTTCATTATTAGATTATCTGCTTATTGATTTGAGAGAAAAATTACTGGAATTCATCTCACTGATGCACATAAATTTTTTATTTTCAGCTGTTTCCTAGATCTTTTTCTTTAATCTTGAATCATAATAAACTTGCCGTTACTTTCAGAAATTCTCAGCAGTAGTAGTTCTAGTATTATATCAAGATTTGATATATTCATTGTTTCTGTAGATATCTGTGAGAAAAAATAGGCTTACGTGTAACAGCTGGTCCTCCAGGTAGGGCCAGTCCTGCTCAGTGTGTTTGTTTCTGTAACATACAGGACATTTAAGGTATGCAATACCCCTAAAACCTCTAGTAAATAAATCCAGGAATTCAAATCCAATACTTTGATTCAAAGTCCTACTGCACGGTCATGCCCTCTAACTTGGTTTCCTAGTTCTTTTAAGAGAGAAAGGTAAATTATTCCATTTTGTTCAGATCTGTTGTCAGTTGATATAAGAGGTGTTCAGATCCACTGGAAACCAAAATTCACAAGCTAATTAATGCTCAAAATAGTTTAACATCATTTCTTGTATCTGGCTTTAGGATGGTTTTGGGTCATTAAGCTGCCATGGGCTTAAAGAGGCCATCTTGGCCTCCCCCTCATTTTGTAAATGAGGAAACAAAGGCTCCAGGAGGGGCAGCTAGATGGTGCATTGATTAGAGTGCCAGCTCTGGAGTCAGGAAAACCTGAGTTCAAATCTCTCCTCAGACACTGACTAGCTCTGTCATCCTGGGCAAGTCCCTTCACCTGTTTGCCTCAGTTTCCTCATCTGTAAAATGAGCTGGGGAAGGAGATGGCACACCATTACAGTATCTTTGCCAAGAAGACCCCGATTGGGGTCACAGAGAGTCCAACGTCACTGAACAACAATAACACAAGGCTCCTGGAGTGGAAGTGATTTCCCCACGGGAGTAAGATCCGAGGTGGGATTTGAACCCTGTGGCTTGCTCCTTCTTCTTTTGTGGCAGACCTTTTGCAGTGTTGGCCCCCAGAAGAGACCAGTGAGTCCTTCTCGGGGCTCTCCAGGTCGGCTTGTCAAACTCAGCCTGTAGCCTCCCATTCGTGCACCCTCCTTTGATGAGTGGAGGGTTAGACTTCCCTCCATGAAGGAAAGTTTCCTTTGGCCTCAGGATCCAAACTCAGGCAAAAGGCTGCGAGTTATTCTAAAGTACTACGGTGTGTGCAAGACTTACTGCCTTATCATCATCAAGAAATCGAAGTTAGTAACCAAGTGTTTTCTACGATGTTTAATTTTTCAACAAATTAGCAGGATCTCAGGGTTCTATTTACCATGGTAGTTAGTTGAAGACTACTGAAAGACACCAGATTTGTTTTTGTAAATTTTCTCTTTTCAGGGAGATGGAATGAAAATACTTTATGAGAATGGAATATCCTGTGTATCTGGAGATGAGGAGATAAGCTGTCTTCTTCTTACTCTGTGGCTATCTAATGGGATCAGTGCTTCCTAAACAATGAATGGAAGCCTACGGGGGGGGGGGGGGGGGGGGGGGGGCGGGGGGGGGGGGGGTAGTGTTTTAAAAACAATCTTGTAGTTTCTCCTTGTGTGACTTTAGCATGGAGCTTCTCCCTGGGGTAGGGGTGGAGGGTTGTCATAATCCAATGGCCACACCCTGGAGGTCAGTCCTGATGCTACGGACACTACCCACATAAATTTTGTTGTTCAGTTGTGTCACTCTTTGTGCCCCCATTCGGGGTTTTCTTGGCAAAGATCCTGGAGCGGTTTGCCATTTCCTTCTCCAGGTCATTTTACACATGAGGAAACTGAGGCAAACAGGGTTAAGTGACTTGCCTAGGGTCACACAGCTAGTAAATGTCTGTGGCCAGTTTTGAACTGAGGTCCTCTTGACTCCGGGCCCAATGCTTTATCCAGTGCACCACCTAGCTTCCTTTACATAAATTTCGCCAACGTGGTATTTAACAACTGCTGTGGCTGCTTCTTCATTTTTAAAAGTACTACTGGAAGATTTTCTTTTAAGCAATTCACTACTTATAAGAGCAATTTCAGTAGCTAGTACGGTAAATTATTTGGAAAATAATTTTTAACAAGAAATTGTGAGATCCGTTTTTTCCCACCATGTTGCTTAATATAATTCAGATCTTTCTTAAATATTTACATTTTCTGAACATAGCTTTTGCTTTCCTACCTCTGGGCCTTTTTCCGTTAAACAGTCTCCCCTCCTCAGAGCTGCTTGTCTTATTCCCACGTATCACTTAAAACACAGGTCAAATGCTGTGCCTTTCCTAAGCCCTTCCAGAGACCCCAAGCCCTCTCTCTGGACTTCTGCGGCACTTGGAGCCTCTCTTACTATGTTTTCACTTTTTTATCTTGTATTACAATTATTGATACACACCTTACTCATCCTCCACCCCTTTACAAGACTGTCAAGCCTTGGAGACCCAGCGACCCTTTTTGTATTTTTAATCTCACTTAGTACTATTCCTTGAACATAGTAAGAACTCAGTAAATGTTTGTTGAAGGAAGAAAGGAATTGCTTGGCAGCTAGCAAATCTGGCCTCAGACACTGGCTGTGTGACCCTGGGCAAGATACTTAACTTCTCTGTGCCTCAGTGTCTGTAAAATGGGGATAATGATGGGGAAGCCCCTGCTTCCTAGGCTTGTTGTGAGAATCAAATGAGATAGTCACAGTAAAGTGCTCAGCACAGTACCTGGCACACAGTAGGTGCTATATAGATGTTTATTCCTTTCCCCTGTCCTTCTTCTACCTGCGTGATCTTGAGCAAGTTGCATAAATGTCTGGGCCTCAGTTTCCTCATGTGTAAAATTAGGGCAGTGGACCAGGTCATAGGCTCACAGATTTTAGAGCAGTAAAGAACCTTAGAGACCATCAAGACCAACCCCTTAATTTTATAGATGAGGAGACTGAGGCCCAGAGAGATTAACTGAGTGACTGAGCCAGGCTTATGACTTGGAGCCTCTGACCACAAATCCAGATGCCCCCCCCATCCTCTGATCTCGTTCCTCCTTGTCCGAAGGGTAACCCTGGTGCTGCTGCTTCTCCTGTTTTTTATTCTTAGAATCCTTCTTGTTGGTGTTTCTAGGCGGCACTCATCTTCCGCTCCCTGTAATCCTTTATGCATTTCTCCCCTTGGGTCCAGTTTCAGAGATAGCTGGCGACTTTTGCAGTGACAAGTTTCCGAACAAACTTCCCAAGACTCAGGCAGTGAGCAGAATGGCTGCTTTCTCCTCCTTTTGACGTGTTCCTTAGCCAGCAGAATATCTATGCTGCAGTTTGCAGAATCCCTGTAACATCATTATCCCAGGGAAGGTTGGGAAATTGGCCTGTGAAATATCTTTAATCCAATCCGAGGGCCTCTGATCTTGCCCTGGGTTATCCTGAAGCAAAAGGCACTCGGTACAGGACTGGTCCCTGGTGTGGTGTGTCCACCTATGCAGGTGCTGTTCTTTTTCCCTGACAGGTGCTGCTGTACAGCCTGCAGACGAGTCAGTGCCTGACCACCCTGGGCAGCTCCCTGGGGGACTTCACATGTGTCAACCTCCGGAACAGCCCCCCACACCTGCTGGTCACAGGCAATAAGGACAGGAGGTACGTTGGGACCCACAGCAGCGCTCTCCAGAAATGAATGGCTCTCACCCCCGGATTCTGGTTCATCTTCTCCTCCTCCCCTTCCCTCCTGCTCCCTTTCCCTCCTCCTCCCCCTCCCTCCTCCTCCTCCTCCTCCTCCTCCCCCTGCTCCTGTAAACACTGTGTCCATGAGCTTGGAGAGCCTGGTATTAGGTAATTGTTGGATATCTCTGCCTCTCTGCTTTCTTTCTGAGAGCATCATGGGAAGATTTTCTTTTAAGCCATTTGGTGGACGCAGTTGGTGGAGGGTCCAGAGAGACCACTTGGAATATTTTTTCCCCCTGCTGCAAAATTTGTCTGGCATTTAAAAGCTCACTTTCTGATATTAAAAACAATAACCTGAGGGATGAATCATGTTCAGTGAAATGAGTTTGTTTGCCAAATGGTGTCAGGAGTGTATTCAGAACACTATGGTGTCCCTCCAGTGACCAAAAAAGAGAGAGAGAGAGAAAGAAAGACAGACTTTATGTGAACAAGTTCCAGGCTCTATTTAGCTGATTAGCGGCCTTCCCTTTAACTCGTTGGCTTAGGGAGTCAGGTTTTCCCTGTGCTGTGTCCTTTGCCAGCGATGGGCACACCGGGAACCGTCAGCACGAAAGGATTAAAGTGTTTGAAAAGACCCTCTGAGTCCAATTTTTAGGTTTTCTTTTTTTCCCCCCTGTTTTGTTTTTTTGGCCAGTTATCTGCAGTGTCTGATCCAGTGCCCCAAAGAGATGTGGAATGGCGATGGGCCAGTGTCTAATGGCACCCCGCCTTCTCCCAGTGCTCGGCACCAGGCTGCAGGTGGTGGTCTGGTTCGGTGGTGGGTATCAGATTGTGAGGCGGATACTTTCTCTTGCCAAATCCCAGACCTCTGTCCCGCCAGTGCAGCAGCTTGCAAAAATAATTATTTTATCAAACAATGTTTCAGTACCCCCCCCTCGCCAACCCCTCCCCATTTTTCAGGGCAAAGATAATGCAAGCACACCACATACTTTGTTGGTAAAGAGAATACTCCATCATTTTTCTTAGTCGTCTGAAGACAGCTGATGTTTTGATAGGTGTAACATGATCATCTAGCAAACAGGCCAGGCTATTTTTCTCTTACGAAGCCAGATTTGATGAGTGGCCTCCCCATGTGGCCGAGCAGAACCAAACAAATCAATTTATAGTTTTAATCTCGTGTATTAGTGTTACCAAAGCGAGCTATGTGCTGATTTGTGCAGGGGCTACAAAGAACACAAGCTTATCTGATACCCTTCTTCCCACTGGGATTTGGCAGCTCCTCGTTTTCTGGGAGAGTAAATGCAGAAGGCTACTCGCGACGTCCAAATGAAAAGCTTTCGGATTATAGATTTATTCGTGCAGAGTTTGTTTACAACATGAGCATTTGGGTGTTCAGTCACAGCTAGACTCACAAGGAACCAGAACAGTGGAGCAGAGAAGAGACCCCTGCTCTCTGCATACACAGGCCCAATTAGGAACCAGAGGAAGAGTTTTGAGCCAAGTTGTAATACCATTAGCAGCTGCACATTGGATCGTCAACTGGGAGGCCTGTAGATACTCAGTAGAGCAGACGTTTCCCCCTAGAGCAGGGATCCCTAATTAGGTGCTCCATCCCCTAAGCGGGAGCCAAATGTCGTGTGTAAAAGGGCACTCTTGTCACTCCGGAGTCTAAAAATCTGACCCAATTATCTGTCACGTTAAGCCCATTTTAATAGGAGATGATTCACCTGACGTACATGGTTTTTAAATCTCTCTCCACAGGTGAGAATAACAGAGTTGTGATTGTTTTTGTGGGGCCCAAGAGAAAGCAGCGTCTGATCCCCAAGGGGGTTCCCAGAGCAGTAATGTGGGGGCATCATTGATGAGATGTGGGCTGGGATCAAAGTAGTGACTTTTATTAAAGTGTATCTGAAACATTGACTGGGGGCGCGGGGAGTTAGCTTTTCAACAGCCACGATAGTATATATAGGAAAGGAAGGGAATTGGTGAGGACTGAGTCGTCTTGCCATCACAGGGCCAGGAAAGAAATTGTGAATGTGTTCTGGAAAAGAAACAGCTCAGTGAAGGTGTTGAAGATCGTGTTTGCCAAGTACATGCAATAGTGAGCATTGAATAATGACAGTAATAACATTGATGTCATGTTTACCACGTGCTGGATACCATGCTAAGCACTTTACTCTGGGATGTAGATGCTATTAAGATCCCGATTCTGAAGTTGAGGAAACTGAGGCAGACGTAGGTGAAGTGACTTGCCCAGGGTCTCATAGCTAGGAAGTGTCTGAGGCTGGATTTGAACTTGGTTCTTCCTGACTCCAAGCCCAGTGCTCTATCCACTGCACCACTCAGCTGCCTCGTTACAGCTAATATATACATACCCCCCCCACACACACATATACATATATGTATATACACACACATTTGTAGCACTTGAAGGTTTGCAAAGCACTCTGTCTCTCTCTCTCTGTATTATCCCATTTGATCCCAGTGCAGTTCAATCCCACCCCCACCTATCAAGTTTATTTGTTCCAGATGCTGGGGTTACACAGCTAACACAGAGAAAGCCAGCCCTGTTCTCAAGGAGTTTAATGTTTTATTTTAAAAAGACGGGAACGTTCAGTGCCCTGATAGGAATAGGAAGGACTTCCTGGGGTGTCATTTAAAAATCTGAAATGATCTTTCTAATGTGAAAAAAAACAAGCCCCTGTTGGACCATTCTTGTGCTTCATAAATAGCATTAGAATAAAAATCCATAAAACTGTCCAGATATTTTAACATCCAAATTAAGGCCAAGTGTAGAAAAAAAAATGTTTTCTTTTAAAAAATGATTCAGTTTGAGTAATTTTCAACATTAATTAAAATTAGAGGAGGACTGTTTCTGGGAATGTTAGGCTTGATAATTAAAAAAAAAAATCCCTCCAGGTTTCTGAAGCACTGTCCTTCCCCATCCACTTGGTAAGAATTTTTCTCTTCATTCCTCAGACGAGGAGACTGAGGTTCTTAGAGGTAAAGTCACTTGTTCATCACATGCCAGAGAGGGTCTGAGGTGTGGGATCCAGACCCCATGGCAGGATTCTGTCCCATGCTGCCTCTGACATCTTATGTTTTGTTTAAGAGCTCACATCTCCCATGATGCTCTACAGTTTGTCAGTTCCTTGTAAGAACTCTATGAGGTAGTAGGTTGAGGATTCTTCTTCCCATTTTACAGGTGAGGAAACTGAGACTCTGAGGTTAAATGACTTGCCAGTTAGCAGCACAGCCCAGTTTAGAACCCCAAGACTTCTTTACTCCCAAGTCCAAATCCAGTATCCTTTTCCTACTACATCATGCTGCTTTTTGAAACTCCTAATTAATGATTAAATTAATTTCTAGAAAAGCAGGGGGCAACCCCATGTGTAGATGAGGTCTCATAGCAGAAGAATCATCAGGGAAGACCTTGGGTGGAGCTTTGCCAGCTCTGTCCTCGTCGGCTGTTGCAGCTGGGTGGCTGAGAGCAGTGCCGGAGCTGGGCCGAGGGACCCGATGGGGATTCCACGTGACTCCATTAAATCAGATGCAGCCTGGGCTCTTTTGTCTTAATGGTATCTTTGCCTTTTCCCACTGAGATTAGGGCAAGAGAGAAGGGATGTAAACCGTGACAAGAGTGAGTTCAGTGAGGCTTTAGATTAGGAAGGACCTCAGAATTACGCCATTTCTGAGGCACTGAGGAGGTGGAGAAAGCAAGCCCCTTTTTTCAGCAGGAATGGTTTAAGTCAAGTGTGGCCAGAAAGCAGACATGGGCCTCGTGAGGTTCCCTGGCCCTTCCTCTGTTTCTACAGCAGTGTTCATGGTGGTAATCTCTCAGATGAAGTCAGCGCTGCAGTGAGGGCCCACAGCAAAAGTAGGAGGCAGCGATGGGGCCCACCTCGGGGACAGCAGCAGGTTGCCAGGGGAACCTCGGGAGAGCTGATAATCTCTCTATGACAATCATTTCTCTTTAAATTATCTCGTTTCTCAGTAAACTTAGGGTCAGAGGCATTGAATTGAAGGGCATTTCTTAGGAAATTGATGTTGACATATCGGATTCTTTAAAGTCATAGGTCTCTGTGTTAGTGGGACCTGTGAAAAGCATTTATAAGTATACCATTAAAACAGACTCAAGTGAAAACATGCCTCGTTGAATTTTAGTAATCATTGTCCAGCTCATTGAAATAGGTTTTTAGTTTTTCCTTTTTAGGTCATCTATACTAGTCAGACACTAGTAGATGTGAAATTCTTATCCAGCACCTAGCACTGAGTCTTCAGCATAGTAGGTGCTTTCTTAATAACTTTATTGAATTGATGTCACTAGTAATAGTAAGCATTTGTTGAGGGTGTATTTGATGTGGGAGGTTTAAAAAGATGAAAAAAATATCCCGGTCTTAACTTACTTGAATTAAATGGGTCAGTGTTTCTTTAAAATGTGTTGTCTTTTTTTAGTTATCTTATTTAAATGGAATCATTAATGAGGGATCAAAAATGCTACTTGAAAGAGGGTTTTAGACATCTCTTTATGCACCAGAATAGATAGCTGTAACCACTTACTGTCTGAAACCAGACTGAATTGTGCCTTCTTTCCTGTCGTGTATTTAGTGGGGATTTGGGGTGGGGAGAATCTTTTGTTTTGAAAGGCTCCATTTGAATGAATGCCTCACTCCTTCATCTCTCCCTCTCTCCTGGATGCTTTTTTGGATAGAAACATAGCTGAAGGTCAGCTCCTTAATAAACCAACCAAGCCAGAGTCTGAATGGGCTTCAGGTTGGCTGCCAACTTTTCCATCAAATACAATGAACCTTTATTGTCAGATGGGACTTTCCCAGCCAAACCAATGAGAAGAAAGCCCCAAGTTGTCATCGCCAATTAAAGAGTCTCTGAGCCTCCATCTTGCTCTGTTAATGTTCCATTGCGGTGTGCTCATGGCATGGCCTGCTGTCAGAGAGAGCGGGAGCGGGCAAGCTAAATGCTCTGCTGACTGACTCCATCTGTAAGGGTCAGAATAAGTTACTCAGAGCTCGGACGATAGAGCCACCCAGAGCGTGCCTCCATCTCGGTTCCAGCACGTTTTCCTGCCCATCAGATGGGTACGACTCGGTTGGAGTCTTTGGATGGTGCCGGTGTCTTTTGTTTTAATTGGCGAAATAGAGCAGGCTCCTATGGAGTGATTTTCATTAGAGAGGGGCTGGGAGGGGGAGCTTTGGAACAGTACTCCAGCTAGACCATGAATATTAAACATAACACAATTATAGCTTTTGGACCAATTATTTTTCTTTTCAGCGGACTACATTGATGAAACGCAAGCTAGATATGTGTTTGTGACATCTACCCCGGCTTCTTTTTCGCATCTGGATGCTGTCCTTTTTGGCGTATCTGTGTGCCCATTGGTTCTGTTTCCTGGGTCTCAGTCCGCGGAGTAGATTGATTTAGTGCTGAAGTTGTCCCGGGTTTGAAGCTGACTATTGTGTTCACCTGAGATTCATATCTAGTTAACATGAGTTAACGTGAGCCAGTCCATGCCCTCAGTACTGCCCATAGGAAGAAAGCTACAACTTTGCCTCGTAGGCACCCTCCAGAAATGTTTTCCTTTCCAAACAACTTATTTCCCTGGGAACTCGGGGGGCCTCTTATTCATTTACAGCCCAACAATGGTATCTTTTGGTTTATTTGTTTATTTTGTTTGGAGTTATCCATACTGCTATCCAAATGAAAAACAGATGGCAGGCTCTGAACTCGTGGACAGATTCGGGTTTGCCTTCGTCTTCCTGACAGCCAAATCTACATTAGGGAACCTCGCTGTCCCGCAGAGTAGCCCTTTACGGGAGCCGCCAAGGCCGCTAGACCTTGGTTCACCCCAGACACATCCTAGAGGAAGGCCTCCGTGCTGCACACTTCTTTCTTTTCCGTTCTGAGATTTGAGAGCAACTCTCCAGTCCTTCCAACCATCTCTGCGGACGGCACACGGGAAATTTGGCTCTTCCCCAAACCGTCCCCGTCCTAGAGCTCTCTACTTCTGCTTGAGAGCCGACCTTTCACAGGCCCGTCACCCTCACCGTGCAGCTCACCTCCCCAACGCCCCTCTCCGGAAAGCTTCTCCTTTGGTAGATGACGTGGCAGGGAAAACGAGGAATGGCGTGAATCGCTGCTTTGGGGTTTGCAGACAGCTCTGCCTGCATTTTGTCATTGCTCCTCACAACAAATCTATCCGGCGTAGAGGTGCTATGCTTCTGAGAAGGTAACGTGGGTATTATTGTCCCCATTGTACAGATTAAGAAGCCGAGGCACAGAGGACTGAGTTGGTTTATATAAATACGGTCACACTGCTGATAAGCAGCAGAGTCACACTTGAACCCGGCCCTTCAGACTCCAAAGGCACCGCTCTCTCCTTTCCACTGTAGCTGTTTTCTTAAAAGTACAACTACAGATGAATTGTCGTGGCTTATACCCACTCCAGAGCTTCTCTGAGGAGGAGGTGAAGTCCACCCCACAAGGCCTAGTGGTCAGGTGGATGGAGCGTTGGCCAAGCTGACTCCAGACTCAGAAGGTCTGGAGAGTCACTTTTCACATATGAGCCTCAGTTTCCTCCTCTGTAGGAGGGAAATCACGTCTTCTTCTTGTGAAAGTAGTGGTCAGCAAGCATGGAGAGGACGTGGTACAGGAAACCGTAAACAAACGCATGCCGTTTTTAAAGAGGAAGTGGGAGACTACGTTAAACAAGGACCTAACGGAACGGCTGTTTGCTGGGGTCCTCTCGGGACTTCTTTTTGTTTTCTTCTGTGTGCTTTTGTGTGTGTGCTGGCGATAAGGACGCCTTGCCGCTTCCCGTAGCGTCTGGGGCCCCCACTCTGTTTCTCTCTGTTAGTCAAAGGCTTCATTTGCATTAACTTCAGTAGGTTGGCTGTGCACTTCTGCAGCAGGAACTCTTTGAAATTGGAAATGGAATTATGAAGAGTACTTCATTTTCTATTCATGGCATTCTAAATAATAGAGTCCCTCCGTTTGGCTAGTGCTCCAGCGCCTGACAGAATATTGTCCTACCGGCAGCATTAGTGCCTTCGTGCCATTCTTGGGTAATTAGTGTGTAAGCTGGCGCTTTGAACACGTTACTTACTCGTGTGTCACAGAGTGAGAAGTTCTCCTTCACAGTCTAAATCTAGCGCACAGTAGGGACAGGTGCTGCTAATCCCCAATCAGCAGGTGAAGACACTGGGTCCCAGGAAAGGGACTGGCCCCGGGTCCCAGACGATGGGAAGGAAGGAAGCTTCTCCTTGTACTCTTGCTCCAAGTACTTTTTACGCCTTAGACTGTGCCGTTGAGGTTGGGTTTTGAGTAACTTCAGTAATTAAACATTTGTGGACGGAGGCAGGGGGAGATGCAATATTCTTTTATCTCCTTTCTCTATGTGTCTATAAGTGATGTAATTGTATATTTTTCAAAACCTAAAGCAGCAAAGTTGACAGTCCACTTCCCTTCCTGTGTTTATCATCTCTTTACTCAGGGTGAGGGTGTATGATCTGCGCAACAGTGCGTCCTTGTGTTCTCTCTATGCCCACCAGTTAGGAGTCTCTGCTGTTCAGATGGACGACTGGAAGATTGTCAGTGGAGGCGAGGAAGGCCTGGTGTGTGTCTGGGACCAGCGGATGGGCAACAAGCTATGGGAAATGCACGCCAGGTAATTCCATTTCTTTAGGTGATTTTATTGCCGTAGAGCCCAAGCCCAGGTCGTTACAGGCAAACGAGCTAAGAGTGTTTCTCTGCAGCTCCTCTGTATGGCACATGTAAAATGTTAATCTCCTTTCCTCAGATACCTCCAGTTCCAAGTTAGGATCCCTCTTAAATGAGGTAAAAAACAGGGGCCTTTATCTCAGACGTACTCGGCTTATCCTGAGAACAAGGTCTGTTAGTGAGGACATTTGGGATTGCTGAGCAGCCTTCATGTGTCACTGTGCAGTGGGCAGGCCAGCGTGACTGGTCATCTCCAGCTGTGGTCTCTGTCCATGACTTCAGTGACCAAGGACCGGGGTACATGAATTCTTTAGAATAGGCAACTCCCTCTCCCTTCTCTGCTACTTCAGGTCTTAGAGAGGTGTTTGGAGAACTGAGAGGGTCACTCAGCCAGTGGGTGTCAGAGGCAGGCCTTGAATTCGGGTCTTCCTGGCTTGGAGGCCAACTCTACCCACTACAGCACACTGCCTGTCGATGCCGATGGAAGTCCTACTAAATTGGTATAGGACTTCAGATAGAGTTTATAATTGCATGGGTATGTGTGATCTTCTATTCAGTCTGGAGAATTTTGTTCGGAAACCAATGAAGAAAAGAGGAAAATTTGCTCTGAAAGTGTGCCATCACACCTAAGAATCATTTCCTTTGCCAGTGAACTAGGAGAAAGTTGGGATTTCGAGCAATATACTGAGTGGTCGTCTATACTGGGAATAGAAATAATTTCAAGGATTTAAGCAAATTCACAGTGATGGAGGTATAGAAAATTAAGGGAAAAGTAATAGCAACAATAAAATTCCTGCTGTTTAAAAAAGTGCCCATGCCTGCCCACAGAGGGTTCTGTTGGGGCTGACCGGGTGGGGCTTTTCTAAAGCGTTTACTGTTCTTTCGGAACAAGCTGGTGAAATTGTTCGTAGTTTGAACTTTTCAATAAAAGCCCATTACTTTTATTGTGATCAGAAGCAAACTGCAATCACTAGAAGGAGTAAAATGGAATTCCCCTTTGGCTTGGGTGTTAACGTGCTGCATGAGGCAGCTTCAAAGGACTGAAAGACAAGCCAGCATTTTTTTTTGTGGCATCTCTTATAATTGAAGGCCAAAGATGGCCGTGATGTCCACCCTCCCACAGATACGGCTGTGAGATGAGCGAAGGTTTTAATGACAGGAGGAGGTTGCTGGAGCCCTGGGTATAGTAGGCCGGGCCTACACTCCAGTGTTTTCTATCTCTGGCATTCTCCCTACGTTTCAAAAGAAGCTGACCTTTGAGGTTTCCTTTTTGTGGGCGTTTCTTGTGTGACGCACTGATTTTCCACCAGATGGTGCTAGAAGCCGCCTAAATTTTCAACATTGGCAAACCCGGACCATAGAGTTAGATCAAGGAGGAGCTTTTGTAGATCCACTAGTTTATTTTATAGATGAGAAAACTGAGACCTGAGAAAGGGAAGTGACACCTCTTAGTTTGCGCAGAATCCTAGAAGGTGTGATGGAAATCTAGTGGCCAGAGTTCCTTAATGCCGCTGTTTACTTTCCAGAGTGATCTACCACGTAAACTAGTAGCATTGAGAGAGCTTCTAAACCTGGGTCAATGGTGTCATTCCCACAACGGGCTCCATGGGTTCCTTTGCCACAATTACAAACGACCTGAATTCTTAGATTTGAGATTTCACAGTTGATGCCTCCGGCAGATCTTAGTTAAAACTTATTCCCTTAACTTGATGAGAGTGGGGTCTGCTCGGAGTGAGTGATTCAGATGAAGCCAGGTTTAAGCCAGCGGTTTGTATCTGTTTTGTGAGGCCGTCTCAGCCTTGGCTTCCGTGACTGTTTCACCAAAGGCTGCCCAGTTCGTCCCATAGGTCTTTGAGTATTCTGTGACAAAGGAGCCATTTCCATCAGAAACAGGTTTAGACCTCAGCCTCTTCTCTTTTTGTGAGCTCTTCCTTGTAGAACCATCAGTGTTCACAGCTTTCACTCTTACTTCCTTTGCTCCAGATTCTGTCTGAATAGCCGTACCCTCTATCGTAAGCTGCCGTACACATTTCCACCGTCCTTGTAGACACGTCACCCCCACCATGTTTACTAAGCTCATTGTCCTTTGTCTGCACCAGCTAGCCCTCCCCGTCATCTAAGCTCCAAACCTGAGTCATCCCTATTTCTTCTTCTCACTTCCCATCTCAAATTAGATACCGCATCTTGTCAATTTTTCCTTTTTAATATCTCTCATATCCATCTCTTTGTTTCTGTTCTCAGTGCTGCCATACCAGTGCAAACCCTTATCACTCCACACCAACAATATTCAATTTAATTTTTAAAATATTTGAATGCCTGCCCTTTGCAAGACATTCTAAGAATCCATATTCCTAATCCATTGATGAGAAAACTGAGGCACAGATTTATAAGACCAGTCTCTCTCCCCTCAAGATGCTTACTGTCAGAGAACCTAGCTTCCGGGCCTAGCTCTGCCCCACCCCACCCCCCAACACACACACACACAAGTTGTATGAATTTGGGTCAGTTACTTAACCTTTGTGATCTTCAGTTTTCTCTCATTTGTAAAATTGCCTAAAACTAGGCAAACTCTCTGGATCTAAGTTGTGTAATGCTATGATAGTGCTGGACAAATGATAAGGTTGGCTTAATTTGAGTGGAATGTGTCTCTTCAAGAGTTGTCTTCCACCCTCACTATTCCAGACACCCTGTGCGTCACGTCTGGTTTAATACACACAGCCTTATTACAGCCAACATCCCCGATGAGAAGAGCCCCCGGGGGGCCAGCATTCTGGACGATGACCTGACAGCTCATCGAAGGTCAGTTGGCCAGCCCGGCCAGGGTGGGGCTTGCTGGCGAGCGTGAATGGTTCAGGGGTAGAAAAGTTGGGGAGCCATAGTGGAAGGATCACTGGCTTTAGACGCAAGCCATCGGAGTTCACGTCCTGACTCCGCCACTTAGCAGCTGCTTCGTGCCGAGGCTTGGGTTTGTACCCAGAGAATTTTTACTCATTAGAGAACATCCATGTGGAAGTGACCACAAGGAAATCACTGGGGGAGTGGAGTCTGCCTGTAAATCCAGGTACCAGAATGGAACCATCTGTTTGACAGTGAGATCCTCAAATTGCAAACAGAGGGCATATACTCTGTTTTAAAGTTTTTATCCAATGAAGTAATCTCTTGGCCTGGGTTCTCTGCCTTCCCTCACCAGTTCATAATGATATAGACACAAATACTCATCATGTTACAGGTTGCTAAAGGGGATATGCCAAAGCAGCATAGGCCGGGAGGAAAGGGTGCCTTGTATTTCCATCCTCCATTAATGCTCAGAGACGTGGGTGTCAGGTGAATAAACACTGGACAGAATCCCATTTCTAATTCTTTACCTTTGTTATTAATAATGTTTTTTTTAACCCCATGCTATTGATCATTTGTATCTTTCTTGGTCGTGATGCGTTTTTTCCCTCACGTCTTCTTTGTGCTTTCTCCAGGCACCGAGGAATCATCTATGCCTATGAGTTTTCCATGGACCAGTTAGCTCCTGAAAGCGTTCTTCCCATTTGCCGCTCATCCTACGATGAAGTGGCTGGTTACAACTATAACATTGGCCTGGCCGTCCCTTACGACAACATTTAAGGAACGATCTCTCCATTTGGAGCAGAGGGGGCAGGAAGACCTTAGAGCCGCCGCTGCTCGCTGCCATGTTAGAACCTGCAGAAAACTTGGGCTCTGCCAGGCCGACCCCACTGGCACCTTGGCAGTGAATGGTTATCAGAGGACGAGAGGGGTGGTGTGGGGGCCCAAGCCCTCACTTGGGCCAGGGTAGGCCCCGGCAGGGGCATTCGAGCTCCAGAATAAAAGAACCCAAGCCAGAGGCATCTGTGGGCCCTAGGAGAGAAAACACTGGGCCCTGGAAAAGAATAATTGATACACTGAGCTTTGGATGTGTTCCAGAGCATCCATTACATTAGCCCTCTGGCTTGTGTCCTCCAGCATAAACCAGCAGCTCTGGGGGGATCGACTCCCGGGGACTGGCTCAGCTTATTCAGAATAAAGAACATATTGGTACATGGACCTTTTAAAAACACTAAGTCTGCAACTGAACGGTTTCATGCTTTAGATGAATTTTTCTTCGTAAAATAAGCAGCCACAGAATGGGGTAGCTTTTCTGTTTGGGTCAAGGAAGGTCCTGGGTTTCCTGTCTAGTAAGACATTCAGGATGGTTTTCATCCTGAAGACAATCAGTTCTATCCCACAAAGACCTTTTGGTTTTTCAGATGGAGAGAGAAGGGGAGAAGGAGAGACAGACGGAGGGAGAAAGTGGGGGGAGGGAGAAATAGAGAGAGGGAGGCAGACAGGTTGCAGCTGAGCTCTGGGGCCCACTTCCCCTCCTGGCAGCTGCTTTGTTTTCTTGCTGAAACAGCACTTTGTTTGAAGATCACTCTGGGTTTACTTTCCACCCAAAGATTCCTAGTGTATCATCAGCCACCTGAAATATAGGGGTGCTGGAAGTATTAACTGTGTTGGTTTGACCCCTGGCTGACCTTCCTTTAATAACATTTGACTTCTGCCACTGTTCTCCCATGCATTGTCATAATGGGCAAAAGAGAGTGTCTGTTTTCAAAAAGCAGCCCCTGTGGCGTTCTGCGTTTCATCATGCTTCTAGCTATGCAGATGAGTAAGGCAGTCACTGGCTCGAATGAAATTAGGCAGAATTGGTATTAAATCAGGGGTTAGATAGGAGTTTTACTGAAAATTAAAAATGAACCTTAGTTACAGTGTTACCTCTCTACCAGCAACAGTACAATTCATAACTAAATCTGGGTTGAAGTAATAAAATTTTCTACCAGTTTTAATCTCTGTGACACAGCTTCCATTTGTTAAAAATCTATTGCAATTAGGCACCACTGGCTTTGGGATGGAGTCCTAGATGAATAGCTTGGTCAAGCCAAAACGGTGTGCTTCAAACACCTGCCCTCTGCCAGGGTTTTCAGTCATCAACTGTACCAGCAGGGAGGAAACCACTCTGTTCTTTGCTTGGATCCTTGGATCTCCGCCTCCATAATTCAGCATTTGCCCAGCTGCTTTGGAAATCCTGGCTTCCCTTCCTTCCCTTTCCTCCCTCATCTTCAGGCCTTCCTCCCCTCGTACCTTTTATTCACCTGTGGAAAACTTCTGAAACCTAAGGGTTGGCAGGTATTGCCCCTGGCTTCTCATGTTTAGCCTTAGTATATAAATCTTCATTCTGATGAACTCAGCTCTTTCAAATTCTGGCTACTAAAAACCTCAAGCAGTTTTGCTCATTAAAACTTAATTTTTCGTGGTTATCCTTCAGCTCATAATGGAAGGATCATGCCACACGTAGTAATTAGTTATAGAAGGCTATAAACGTAGGCACCCTCCAAGGGAAGATTCATCAGGGATGATGGGACACAGGTTATAGAGGGGGTTTTTTGTTTGTTTTTTAAGAAATGGCATTAATAGAGTGGAAAGGCCCCTGACCTTGGGTTGAGAACACCTGGGTTCGGGTCCTGCACCTACCATTTTCTGCCTTTGTGACCTTGGGCAAATCACTTGACTCCTCTGAGCTTCAGTCTCCTTCTCAGTAAAATGAAGCATTTGGAATGAGCTCTAAGTTCTTTGTAGCTCTAAGTCTATGATCCTGTTACCTCTGTGGTCCCTTTCACAAATAAGTCCTATGAACCTAAACTACTTTTACAAGACCAACAGGAGAATCTGATTACTTGGGATGGAAATTCTTGCCCTTTCTGGAAGGGAAAGCTTAAGACGTTTCCAAGGCTGTCCCTTTGGCCCATGTTTTAGAGGCTATGGCTCAAGGAAGCCATGTCTTGTGTTAACTGATTAAAAACCATGCCTCATTTGTTGGGGCCAGAAGCTTTTCAGCTGGTCTAGCTGGGCATCCTCTCAGCTGACCCCATGGCCGTCTGGGTTACTTCCTTGTCACAGCCATCAGAGCCCAGGCATACGTCTGGAGCTTCACCGTGGCCAGAATGGGGCAGACGAAGGGCCTCGGCCTAAAAGAGCTGGCCCCACGGTGGGCTGCCCTGTGGTGTGCTGTGCGAGAGGCCAGATGGTGACCCTGGTGCTCTCTGGACAGGCTCCTGTGTTGAGCTCGAGTTATCCTGTGTTGTCCCTCTTGTGACACGTGGAACGGTGGCTGTTTGGCCTTCTCTCTTTTATTTACTTCCAAGAGCAACTGTCCAGATAGTCTCAATGGCCCCTGCTCTCATCTGATGCCATCAGGGAACATTTTTGCTTTAGAAGCAAAGACCCACCATGGCAGAATCAGTCCTCCACGTCCTTGGTACCCTCACCCTGTGCCAGAAAGGCTGCTGATCCATCCATTCTGTAGAAGGTGGCAACCCAAACCTCGTGCCCTCTGCCTAAGCACCCTTCAGTTCATATGCTTACAGAAGGCACCACCCATTTTACAGATGAAGAAACTGAGGCTCAGAAGCAAAGCGATTTGTTCCAGGTCTCACAGCTAACAGCCAGGATTTAGACTTGGGTCCCCTGACTCAAAGTACTTATTTCCACTACATCCATCTTTCTTTACCGGAGAACCTGAGGCCAGAACAATTGGTCAAGGTCACACAGGCAGTAAGTCAGAGCTGCTGGTCTAGCCCACGTCACCCAGACTCCCCAACAGAATGTTTCCTTCCAGCTCTCTCAGTCACCCTGATAGATATCTTGTCAAAAGACCACCTCATCCCTGTTGCTACCTTGCTTACCAAGCTAAAATACCGAGCAGCAGGTCCACAGCTCAGGCCCCACCCTCCGGCAATGAGCCTCCCACAGCTCATTTGATCTGACGCTCCACCCGGGCCAGCATCTCTATCCGGTTCTTAAACTGGCTTGTTTGGAAGCAAGGAGAGAAAGGTAGGATTGATGCTTGGGGAAGCTACCATGGAGAGATGCTAATTCCCTCCCACTTGACTGTTCTCTCCTTCCCAAGGTCACTGAGTGGGAGGACAGCCTGGGAGGCAGGTGTTTTGCAAAACCCTTGCCAAAGCAACTTGTATTTTTAACTCCCCAAAAGCCTAGTTAAGTCACATTGTGCTGTTCCCAGCACTGCAGGGGGGGGGGGGTGGGGGTTCACATCCACCCTTATTAACTGTCGTGCAGGTAAGGATTGAGTCAGCTCCTAAAAAGAAGGGTCAAGTCAGAAGCAGACGGATAAAAGGATCTTCTGAATCCTGACCGGGATAGAAAAATAGAAGTGTATTGTTAAAGGTTAGCAGTCATTCTTTTCTTGAAGGGCAGCAAATAGCCCGGACTGGATGTCACTGTCATTATAACATCAGTTCCTTTATTTATAATTTATGTTCTAAAGCTACTGTAGACTGTTACCCCGGAGTTCCTCCTAGTAGGTTTCCCTCTGCAGTCTCCTCTTGTAAATCTTCCTTTTGTAAACACAGCAGATTAATTTATTTGTTTATAATTGTTGAGCTCCTTTGCTGGTTGTCTCTCTTCAGTAATGGGGCAAACATACTACTACTACTATTGCTGCTACTACTACTACTACCACCACCACCACTACTACTACTACTACTACTACTAATAATAATAATAATAATAATTCATACAGTGCTTTAAGGTTTGCCCATTTTTTTAACCTACTGTTGTCTCATTTGAGCTTTGCAACCGTGTGAAGTAGATACTATAGATATTAGTATTCCCATTTTACAGAAGAGGAAACTGACTCACAGAGATGAAGTGATTTGCCTAGGGTCACATAGCTAACAATTATCAGCGGTAGGATTTATTTCTTTGTTTTTTAAATTTTCATTTTCAGTTCCAAATTCTCTCCCTCTCTCCAGTCCCTCCCCCACCCATTGAAAAGGCAAGCAATATGTTATCAGTTATGCTTGTGAAGTCATGCAAAACATTTCCACATTAGCCATGTTGCCAAAAAAAAAAAAGTGAAAAAAATGTGCTTCAGGCTATACTCAGTCCCTCAGTTCTCTCTCTGGATAACATTTTTTTCATCATGAGTCCTTAAGAATTATCATAGATCATTGTATTGATCAGAGTAAAGTCTTTCACAGTTGATTATTGTTACAATATTGTTACTGTGTGCAATGTTCTGCTTCTGTTCACTTCACTTTGCATTAGTTCATATAAAGTCTTCTAAGGTTTTTCTGAAATGATCGTGCTTGTCATTTCTTATAGCACAAGAGTATTCCATCATAGTCATATATCACAACTTGTTCAGCCATTCCCCAATTCCCCTCAGTTTCCAATTCTTTGCCAACACAAAAAGAACTGCTATAAATATTTTTGTACATATGGGTCCTTTTTCTGTGATGTCTTTGGGCTACAGACCTAGTAGTGATATTGATGGGTCAAAGTATATGCACAGTTTTACAGCCCTTTGGGCATGGTTCCAGATTGTTTTCTAGAATGGTTGGACCAGTTCACAACTCTACCAACAATGCATTAATGTCCCTATTTTTCTACCTCCCCTCCAGCTTTTGTCATTTTCCTTTCTGCCCTATTAGCCAATCTAATAGTTCTGAGATGGTACCTCCAGAATTGTTTTAATTTGCATGTTTCTAATCCATAGTGATTTAGAGCATTTTTTCATATGACTATAGATAATGTTGATTTCTTCTTCTGAAAAATGTTCATATCTTTTGACCATTTATCAATTGGGGAATGAGTTCTTATCTTTATCAATTTGGCTCATTTCCCTCTATGTTGGAGAAATAAAACCTTTATCAGGAAAACTTGCTGTAAAATTTTTTTCCTAGTTTTCTGTTTCTAGTTCTGTTTATGCAAAACTTATTTAATTTAATGTAATCAAAATCATCCATTTTACTTCTCCTCATCCTCTTCCCTTATCCATAGGCAGTTTTTTTCCACGCTCCCCTAATTTGCTTATGATATCACCCATTATGTCTAAATCAAGAGCCCATTTTGACTTCATCTTGGTATATAGTGTGAGGTGTTGGTGCATTTCTTATTTCTGTCAGACTACTTTCCAGTTTTCCAGACGTTTTTGTCAAATAGTGAGTTCTTGCCCCAACTGTTTGGAACTTTGTGTTGATCCAATACTAAGTTCCTGTGGTCATTTCCTGCTGTGTATTTTCTACCTAATCTATTCCATTTATTGACCATTCACCAGAACCAGATTATTTGGATGATTATCGCTTTATAATAGAGTTTGAGACCTAGTACTGCTAGGCTCCCTTCCTTCACTTTTCAGCAGTAGGATTTGAACCTAACTCTTCCAGACTGAAAAATCCAATGCTTACTACATCATGCTTCCTCTTCTAGAGGTATAGAAATGAACTTGTTTTCAGCAACCTCCAGGCAGATGAGGGGAGGGGGCCAGAGGGTAGAGGTGTGACCTCAGCTGGGCAAACACCATATGGGAAACCTGACGCGTGTCCACACCTAATTATTCATCCACTGACTTCTTCACTAGTAAGCTCTGAGAGGATTGCTCAGGTTCCTTCCAATATTTAATCTGATCTTTTCTTTTGTCTATTTCTTTTTAGTGACTGTGACGCGGCACCCTGTGTGTATTAGATAGGAAATGGGTAAAAAACAAATGTCAGGTCTGTCTTTTGGCTTGATGTGTGTTTCAGAATGAGTGTAACATCTGCCATCTTTCAGTTATGTTCCCTGGGCAGGGGCTGGATTTGATCATCCCACTAGCCTCAGTTTCTGTGCTATAAATCCAACATTCCCCCATGCTCATCAGGGCCTTTCGGCTAATGAAGCATAAAGAGGGACAGAGTAGTTAACGAAATCCATTTCAGAGGCCTCTTTTTAGCCTCAAATGCACAGACTGGCCAACAGATGGTCGAAGCCTTTCTGAAAGCAGTACCTGGAGCGATGACCTATAGCTTATTTATTAATCAAAACACAGCAGCACAACTAGACCACGGGGAACCCCCACCAAAATTAACCTCCCCTTTTTTGGTAGCCAATTTGCCACAAACTAATAGGCAACTCTAATGACTTCCCAAGTCATCCAAATGACCAGAAACAGAATTCCATACAAATAACTCACCAGGAGGAAAGGAAAAGAACACAAGAAAATTTCACAGCACATGTTCCAGTGGCAATGAACACTTAACTCTGGCCAATTTGAAGACACCCCATGGGCTCTGGTCATTCGGTGATTCTGAAAATCCTATCTTGTTTTGAGCACATGGACAAAACTCTAGATGAATCAATCTTACTTTAATTAGCCATGCAAATTGCCACTGGCCCAGGGCCCCGAAGAGATTAGGCTGGGCTTTAAATTATACGGGCAAGAAGTAATGTCTTTAGGATGCTGGGAACAAGTAAGGTTGCTCACTTGTGATGCGTGGAGCATCTCCTGGACCCTAGCGGGGAAGGGGAAGAATGGGTGGGACCCAAAGAAAGCCTGAAGTCAGGAAAATAGTAACTCCATCAAAAAGGTGAACCAGGGGAGGATATAGGCAGTAGTTACACAATACAGCGTCAACGCAGAGCTGGGGATGCTCCAATGAATTCCTCCATCCGTGATCAGGAAGCCAGGGCAGTTTGAGGAAAAGATTCGAGGTTAGCCCCCCAGGCGATGGGAGTTTCTTAGTAGCTGATGCTGTATGAGAAACCGTCCTACCCCAGCTAATCCTACTGGTTCTGTTTATATAGCTTCCCCTTCCCATAAATTAGGGACTGGATTGAAGTTGATGGGCAGTAATGGAGATCATCTAGGTCCCTGGTGGCCTTTCAACAAGAGGGGCTTGTCTGGATGGACAGGAACTACACTCGTGAAAAAGAGGTTCACATTTTAAGTTGGTGAGTGTTTGCTCAGTGTAAAAATGGAAATTTCTGCAAAATGGAAGAAAACCACCTAAATATCTACTGAGTGGTTGTGATGAGAATGCTTTGCAAACCCTAAGGTGCTGAGTGTGAATTTCAAATCACCTAGCACCACCCTCACCTTTTTAAAGGCGAGAATGGGGAGGTCACAGAGCTTCCTGGCAGCTTTGGGCCACCTGACATCAGCCAGGGTCCGTCAAGATTATTACAACACCCGCCCAACATGTTCTGACTTCATTCAGTCTTTTGGTTGCATGTGAGAACTCAGCCTTCCAGTCCCATTTCCAAGTCCTGGAACATCATTTATTTCTGAATTTTGTTAACGATGCTGCAGTAGAAAGAAATTTCTGGGAGTCTGAGTGGTTGAGCCCTAGAATAAATCATCAGAGTTTCTGTGAAATGCATCAGGGCCTAGGACTAGAGAGCATTGGAAAGCAGCCAGGTGGGACAGGCACTAGAGTGCTGGCTTGAATTCAAATCCTGCTGTGTGACCCTGGGCAAGTCGCTTAATCTCTGCCTGCCTCAGTTTCCTCACCCGTAAAATAGGGATAATAATAGCACCTCCCTCCCAGAGTTGTTGTGAGGATCAAATGGGATAATGTATGTAAAGTGCTTTGGAAACCCTTTGCTGCGTAAATACTAGGTCCAATGGATAAAGGCCCCAGCCTGGAGTCAGGAGGACCTAGGTTCAAATCCAGCCTCAGACACTAGTCACATGACCTTGGGCAAGTCACTTAACCTCTGTTTGCTTCAGTTTTCTCACCTGTAAAATATAGATAATAATTGCACAGTTGTGAGGATTAGCTACAATAATATTTATAAAGCGTTCAGTATAGTGCTTGGCACATTTTTGCTCATCTTTCTTCAGTAGCGTCCAACTCTCTATGACCCCATTTGAGGTTTTCTTGGCAGAGATACTGGAGTGGTTAGCCATTTCCTTCTCCAGTTCATTGTACAGATGAGGAAACTGAGGCAAGCAGGGTGAAGTGACCTGCCCAGGGTCACACAGCTCATAAGTGTCTGAGGCCAGATTTGAACTCAGGAAGGTGAGTCTTCCTGACTCCATGCCTGGCACTCCGTGCACTTCACCACCCAGCAGCTCTCTCACTCGGCACATGGTAAGTACTTAATAAATGTTTATTCTTTCCCCTTTCCCCCCAAATGAAGAACTGCTGCTGTCTTCAAAAGGAAGTGTCAGACTGAGAGGAGAGATGTTTACAGTTGGGTTCTGACAATGAGAAACATCACATCAAGCAAACAGCCCCCTGACAGCAACATCGGGGACACGAAGAAACATCAACGTTCCGAAGAAAAGCAATTAACATTTGTCCTGGGTCTCCCGCCGACTATGCCAGAAGCTTACCCCATGCACTGAGCGGGGCCATCTTCTTACCTACAACCGCACACGGTCAGGGGCCGGCATGGCTTCGTGCCCCCCTCTCGAGAGGTGACCTGGTGATCCCCGTGTGCAGCAACCCCTCCCTGGGCCAGGCTGGGCAATGATGCCTGAGGCAGCGAACCCTGGGGCTTCCCAGGATTGGGTGGGCCTGGAACACCGGAAAGTGAATGCCTGGGACAGTGACAGAGCTGGACATCTGCCCAGCCCACAAGGATAAATGGAGAGACAAGCCGTGTGTGGGAAGGACATGGAAACACAGGGATAGAGGAAGTAAAGGAAATGTCAGTGGTGCGACCTTCTGATCCACAGATTGTCAAAGCAGAAAGGCAGAAACGAGGCCCTGGGAGAGGGAAGGGACAAGTTCAAGGTGATGCAGACAGGACCAGAACCACAGGCCTGTGTTCCATCTATGCCATCAATTCTCTAGCTGTGACCTCAGCAAAGTCACTTAACACTGAAACAGCCCAGAAAACACCCATTCGATTATTGGCCCACTCACAGGGAACCCCATACCTGGAGTTGTTTTCAGTTGTGTCCAACCCTATTTGGGGTTTTCTTGGCAAAGATACTGGAGCAGTTTGCCATTTCCTTCTCCAGCACATTTTACAGGTGAGGAAACTGAGGCAAACAGGGTGAAGTGATTTATCCAGGGTCACACAGCTAGTAAACGTCTGAGGCCGAATTTGAGTCTTCCTGACTACAGGCCCAGCAGAGGAATGGAAAATTAGCTACATCCGTTAGATTGCAAGCTCCTTGAAGGCAGGGACTGGTTTTTTTTTGCCTCTTATTGTATCCCCAGTGCTCAGCACAGTGCCTGGCATAGAGTAGGCACACAATAAATGCTGATTGATTGATTGTATCACTTGAACACCACATTGGGAAAAGTAGATTTAGGAAATACCTCCCTGAAGCACACCTCCCCTGGAATAAGGTTCCCCAGACCAAACCTTTTTGTATGACTAAGCTACATTGATTCCCATGAAAAGCATCTGAGTGAGGGGAACAGAGGTCAGACAGAGGGACTCAGCCAGATCCTCAGAACTCAGGGCTGCTCATGGACTTGGAGAGAGGCCTCTGTGAGCAAGTGGCCTTTAGAGGAGGCTGGGGCCAGTGCCAGATGGAGTCAGTAGACACTTTCTCTCTCTGTCTGTCTCTCTCCGTCTGTCTCTCTCTCTGTCTCTCTCCCCTCTCTCTCTCTCTCTCTCTCTGTCTCTGTCTCTGTCTCTCTCTCTCTATATGTGTGTGTGTGTGTGTGTGTGTGTGTGTGTGTGTATATATATGTATCTTGATAGATAAGGCCCTCCCAGCCTTACTTGGAGCTGGATAGAGACCTGCAGGCCTCTCTATTTGTACAACCCCAAAGGGAAAGAAGTGTTGGAGTATTAAGGAACCCTTAGGAACATCGGGGGTTAATTGAATAAGATAAAATTTATAAGGGAGACATAAAAGAAAATCTCATACTTGGGTTCACATGTGTCCTGGGGAGCTATCCCTTCACTGATGTTCAGCTATGTCCAATTCTTCCTGACCCCATTTGGGGTTTTCTTGGCAGAGATACTGAAGTGGTTTGCCATTTCCTTCTCCAGTAGATTAAGACAAACAGGATTAAGTGACTTGCCCTGGGTCATATAGCTAGAGTGTCTGAGGCTGGATTTGAACTCAGGTCTTCCTGACTCTAGGTCCAGCATTCTATCCACTGAACCACCTAGCAGCCTCCCTTGATTACTACTTAGTTCAGATGATTGTATTAGTGTGGGATCCACCAGGGGAGAAGGTTGCTTGAAGGATTCTGAAAGGAGGTGCAAAGTTTTCCTAATGGTTAAGGAGCTTGAGTATGAACCCCGCTTTGTTTTGTCAGATTCAAGAATACCAGTCCTTTATCCAATGTCTTGTTAACCTTAATGCTTGCAAGGGACTTGGCATGGACTTGAAGAAAGATGTGTGCCAAACTGGTTGGGGCTAAGTGACCTCTGAGGACTCTTCTAATTCTTAGATTCCATTATTCTGTGAACAGACACAGAGGCCACATTCATTAACAAAACCTAATTTATTAGAGATAAAAAGTCAGTCAAGTCTCACACACCATCCATTCTGTACAGGAAAACAATAGAAGCACATTAGCAAGTTGATCGTAGACACGTCAGTAGCAAAAAAAACCACATTCATTTGGTACCAGCAGCCTTGATGAGCTGCTCCAGGGCACCATCGGCATCTTCGCCCTTTGCAGAGGAGGCAGGCAGAGGTCAGTGGCAAAGGGCAATGGTCTCCATATTGAGGAAGCGGACGTGCATCTTGGTCTCTATGTCTATCCCCTGCCAGATCTGGAACGGGATGAGAGGGCACCATTAAAGAGACATTGCAAGGAGGGTGGGTGGGGAGGGAGGAAGGGAGAAAATTTATAACCCAAAGTTTTAAAAGCACATGTTAAAAATAAAATAATAATAATAATAAAGAGACATTGCTAAGACTCCTTCAGGGAAGCTGTTCATTTCCTGCTGACTGGTCCATATTTTCATCCGTCTCCCTACAGCTCTGACCCTCATCCGGGTCTGAAAATCTCTGAGCAGGTAAAAAGTGACTAATGACAATCGGTCACTTATGTCTATACCATAGATATCAATCTGGGAGTGGGGGTTAGAAAACTCATTCTATTTTCATAGCGGTTAATTTTGGCAACGGCATTCATGTTCTTTTCTAGCCTAGAGGCTTCTTAGGAAGTACAGGAGATAGAGTGCTGGGCCTGGAGTTAGAAAGACCTGAGTTCAAATCTGATCCCAGACACTTATCAGCTGTGTGATGCCAGGTAAGTCACATCACCTTTACCTACCTTAGTTTCCTCATCTGTAAAATGGGATGATAATGATAGCACCCACCTCCCGGGGTTGTTGTGAGGATCAAATGAAATAATGTTTGTAAAGACAATACTTGGAACCTAACAGATGCTTAATAAATGCTTGTCTCCTACCTCTTTTTTTCAAGATTATCAAGATTATATTATAACACAAAATGCAAGTTATTAAGCGTTGAGTTGAGGCTCTAGGCTTAGGACTCTGTGATTAATAATTAATGACCTACAGCTCCTCTTTCCCTGAGGCAGAGCAAACACTTTCATAATGACCACCTTCCTTGTCTTTATAATACATCTGGGAAAGGGTAAAGACTATATTGTTTTTACAAAGTAAGACAGTGAGGCCCTGGAAAGGTGAGTGCAGGCCAAATACCTGACTGGGGCTAGAACCTCAGCTGAGTTGAATTCTAATCAAGTATTCTGTCCTTCAGACTTCTCTGTCTCTGTCTCCCTCCCTATTTGTCTCTCTGTCTCTGTCTCTCCTCCCCTCCTCCCCTTCACATTTTCTCTGGCTCCCTTTTCTCCCATTGGACCCCAACTATAAATAGAGAGGATGGCCATGTGAAGGGCAGACAGCTGCTGAGCATTTCTGACCTGAGCACTTTTCGACCTTTCAAGTGACCACTTCTCTGACCACATCAGACCTGGTACCAGGGCAGCCAGGAGGCCAGAGATGGGGGGAGGTTCCAGCTTCATAGGCACCAGGGCTTCGGGGTCTCCCTCCCTCCCACACCCCAGAAGGCAGAGAGGACAATCACAGATAAGAATACCAGCCACAGGCTGTAATTCGGAACCCCCTTCCTTGTAGCCCTAGGGCTCCCCAAACGTGGGCCTCCTCTCCTCCAGTAGCACCCACCTTTAGAAAGTCATCAAAGGTGATTCCCTCGTACACTTGATCCGGTTGCTAGGGATAAAACAAACAAAAAGTGAGCAGACACTGGGGAGAGCCCTTGGGGAGAGGCAGGGATGACAAAGCCCGCCTGTCCATACCCAGCCCAGTCTGCCCTCCTGTCCTTCACACCCTCACATCAGGAGTCTCTGAGGACAGAAGGGGGTGGTAGAGCCAAAGGGACACAGAGTTCCTTCCCCACCACCAGATTCCAAGGAAACTAGGCTGGGCCTCTGCTGAGGGGAAGAGTTGACGAGAAAGGGGAAGAAAATGACTCAACTGGACATATGGTCCAGCTGACGGTGAGCCAGCAGAGAGATTTCATTTCACAGAGGAGCCCTTTGTGAGTGTGTGTGTGTATGGATATATTTGCATATATGTACATGCATATGTCATATACATATATATGGTCACTTCATCCTGCTTGCCTCAGTCTCTTCATCTGTAAAATGAGCTGGAAAAAGAAAGGGCAAATCTCTCCAGTATCTTTGCCAAGAAAACCCCAAATGAGGTCACAAGGTGTAGGACCCAACTGAAATGACTAAACAACAAATGTGCATGTGTGTTTGTGTGTATATCCATGTGCATGTAACTACGTTTGTACGCACATGTGTTTGCATATATATGCATTTGTTTCTGTGTGTCTATATGTGTGCATTTGTGCATACATGGGTGCATTGTTAGTGTGTGTGCGTGAGTATGTGTATATGTTTTTATATGTGTGTGCATTTGTATATATGTCACTGTGTCATATACACGTGTGCATCATGTGTACGTGGGTACACTTATTTGTATATACATGTGTTGTATACATGTGTGTTGTGGATTGCATGTGTTTGTGCATGTGTGTATGTACACGTATGTGTGTGTGCATGTAGAGACAGGACTGAGGAGGAGAGGTTCTGGATCTGTCATTTCATTTCTGGGGGGGCGCTCCTGACATGGACTTCCACTGAGGCAGACCCTCAGTTTCGCTTTAGAAACTCACCCAGGGCACTGAGAGTTGAACTGACTTTCTCACGTGTCCCACAACTGATCAGGTGTCAGAGGCAAAATCTGAACCCAGATCTTCTTGACTCCAAGGCCAACCTGTCCATTAATATTCAGAACATCCTATTCCCAAAGAATTCTGTCGGAGAGGCCCAGGTCGTTCAGAGCTATGTCTGTCCCCTCCCCTTGCTCTGTAGTCTCACAAATCCTACTGTGTGCTTGCATTTACATAAAATACTTAATGCACATACATACACGTATATACATGTTAACTAGAGGCAACATTCATCTCTCATGGAAACCTTTTCTGTGGCATTTGCCTTCTATGGGGTATAGGTTTGTGCTTGCCAAGCTCCTTGGAACGTGATGCAGATGAGGATGCACATAAAGACTTCATGGATCCATGATTCTGTTGGTACGGCAGCTTCCTTTTATGTGTTGGTTTTCCCCATTGGAATGTAAGCCCCTTGAAGGCAGGAATGGCTTTCTCTTGTTTGTATTTGCATTCCCAGCACTTAGCACAGTGCTTGGCATATAGCAAATGCTTGTTGCCACCCTGCAGGCCAGGATGGGAAATCCCTCCACCAAGGAGATTACAACTGCATTCATGGTCCATCCCTGTGAGCTGCTGTGGCCAAAATAACCATAACCATGTCGCCAACTTGTGTTGAGCCTCCCTGAAATCAACTACAGTAGTTCTCAGACAAAAGATTCATAGGGACCTTGGAGAGCATCCATTACCTCCTACACCTGAGCAGGAATTTTTGCAACATATCCCATCCATCAATCACCCAGCCTTTGCTTGAAGACCTTCAATGAGGGAGAACCCAGTTCCCTTTGCATCATGCCTAAATCTGCCTCTGTCATTTCCACCCATTGTTCCTGGTTCCATTCTCTGGGGTCTCTTCCTTAGAATAACCCTTCAGATACTGGAAGAAGGCTTCCATTTCCCCCCTAAGTCTTCTCCGTGTTCTCTTCAGCAAAACCTCAGATCACCATGGTCTTGGCAGGATGTCACTGTCCTGGTTGGTCTCTTCTGGATGTGATGCAGGTTCTCAAGGTCGCTTAAAATATGGTGCCCCCAAAATGAACACAATACTCCACATGTGATCTGACCAGTGCTGAGTCATTCCTGAATGGGGCTATCACCCCTCTAGTCCTGGATGCTATCCCTCTCTTAAATCAACCCAAGATACCAAGGCTACCATCTCACACTGTTGACGCCTACTGGGTTTGCAGTCATTGAAAGATCCCACATCTTTTTCAAAGGAGCTTCCAGTCATGTTTTCCTCCATCTTGTAATTTTGAAGGTGATTTTTTTTGACCCTGAATGAAAGACTTCACAAATTAGATTTCATCATCTTAATTATGGACCATATTTCTAACCCATTAAGATGTCTTTGGATACTATCATACAAGGCATTCACTGAGCCTTCCTGCTTTGTATTATCTGCAGTTTTGATAAACGTGTCATCTGTGTCTTTACCCCAGCCATTGATAAGATGGTTGAACAACATAAGGTTAAAGACAGATGTTTGGGGCATTCTGCCCTTCAACGATGGCTAATCATTGAGTAACAACCCCCACCACAACAGCAACTATGTATGTAGGGCTTTAAAGTACTTTACAAATATTCCCTCATTCAATCCTCACAACAACCCTGGCAGGCAGGTGCTATTATTATACCATTTTACAGATGAAGAAACTGAGGCAAACAGAAGTCAGGCAACTTCCCCAGGATCACAGCTAGTAACTGTCCAGCACTCTATCCATTGGGTCACTTGGCTGCCTACTCTACTTTGGGTCTCGCCATTGCATAAGTTTTGAATTTGCCTAATGATTTTATGACCTGTCATGTCTCCAGATGTACAGTCCATTGTTAGCCCCTCACTTGAAGCCTTTCCAAGCTTGGCTACGATCTGCCAAAACGTGTGTTCCCTGGCATAGCTTTCAGGTACCCAGGGTCACCATGCCATGATGAGGCATTGGAGCGGATGACCTTAGCGAAGAGGAAGCAATATTGGGAAAATGCACAGAGAACACACACACACACACACACACACACGAATCAGTTCAGCAGCTACTAAAATGTGTGTGTGGATTTTATGTTGTTCAGCAGCTGCCAACAATTTTACTATGGGAAATTAAGAATGCTGTCGCCAATTGAAACTGAAGTAGGATTGGGAGTAATTTAAGGAGGGAAAGTATAATTAAATCAAATGGGAGTTTGGCCCAGTATGGAAGCTAGCCGGGCATCCCGGGCCCTTGTGACCAGCGCTGTGGGCCTCCGTGCTTCTGTCATTTAATTTGCTGAATGTACCAGATTTCCACCTAGCCAGAAGTCTCCCTTAGGACCAAAAGACCAGCCTGAAAAAGACGAGTAAATAAAATGACCCCAAGCCTCCCTCTCCAGGGACAGCCCCAGTGCCTGAGATCATGTGTTGCAGCTGGCAATCTGTCTACCAGTTTCAGTAATTAATTAGAAGACACAAAAGCTTTTCATCAGCTGAAAGACCTCTCCACTCCACTCAGGATGCCACAAGGAAGACAAACATTTCGTGACTCAAGCTACCAATGTGAAGATCTCATCTTTTTTTGGGGGGGGGGGTAGGCAATGTGGTTAAGTGACTTGCCCAGGGTCACACAGCTAGTGTCAAGTGTCTGAGGCCAGATTTGAACTCAGGT